TTTTTAAAGTTTTGGATAGTGTGTGGACAGATTAGAGATCCTATTAAACTGTTTTGCTATCTGTGTCCCCGCTAGATAGAATTCTCTATTTGTCCCAGTGACCACTGTCATAGGGACAGAAGATGATGGCAAATGTAAAATTTTAGAGTTGTTACCAGAACAAGAGGTAAGGCAATATCTGCAAACGGGGACACCCGTTCAAGTGGCAATTGTCTAAGATGATCATTTCCTTCACTTAGTAGAGGTTTCCTCTCACTTCCTAATGTATCTTCAGGACACAGGCAGCAAAAAATAAATTGACAGGCTTTAACGAAAAAAAAAAGGTTTGGGCTATGTATACGCAATAATATCATATTGTTATTCCTCCCAAAAGCCTTTTCCTACGAGGATGTGGATAACAATATTCAGGGGTTTTGTAATATACAAAAACGAATTATAATCTAATGAGTATCCCTCTTACTTTCGATAGGGAAAAAGCGATAGGGAATTATTTGGAGAAGATAACTTGCTGTGTCCAACCAGTCCTCTTTGGGAAATCCTTTTCACCTAAGTTCCTATTACATTCCAGGAAGACAAATATGTACAGAATGTGGAGTTAAATACACTCAACAACCGCTTTATTAGGTACACCTGTTTAATTGCTTGGTAACACAAATTGCTAATCATCCAATCACATGACAGCAACTCAATGCATTTAGGCATGTAGATGTGGTGAAGACAACTTGCTGAAGTTCAAACTGAGCATCAGTATGGGGAAGAAAGGGGATTTAAAGTGACTTTGAATGTGGCATGGTTGCTGGTGCCAGATGGGCTAGTCTGAATATTTAAAAAATAGCTGATCTACTGGGATTTTCACGCACAACCATCTCTAGGGTTTACAGAGAATGGTCTGAAAACGAGAAAATATCCAGTGAGCGGCAGTTGTGTGGATGAAAATGCTTTGTTAATGTCAGAGGCCAGAAGAGAATGGACAAACTGACTTCTTCGACAGTCCACATGTTGAACCACATAAAAGCATGGATCCATCCTACCATCAACTGTTCAGGCTGCTGGTGGTGGTGTAATGGTGTGGGGGATTTTCTTGGCACTAGCAAGCTGTACCTAATAAAGTGGCCGGTGAGTGTACAAAATACAATAGTTTTGTATGCTACTAACTTTGAATCCTCTTTATTTTATTTATTTATTTATTTGTAGGAATAAGTATATTGATGTATCTTACTTTGGCCCATTTGGAAAATAACAGACTCATTATAGGTCATGTGACTTACTTATTGAATGTATGAATAAACAGTTTATGGGGTTGATTTACTGAAACTGGATAGTGCAAAATCTGCTGCAGCTTTGCACAAAAACCAATCAGCTTCCTTTTTTTTTTGTCAAAGATTAATTGAACAAGCTGAACTTGGAAGCTGATTGGCTACCAAGCGCAGCTGCACCAGATTATGCACTCTCCAGTTTTATTAAATCAACCCTATTGTCTTTAATCCCTTGAATCACTGTTGTAGAGTAGAAGGAAGAATCTGGTTTAATACAGACATATTGATAAGTGGACCCAATCTAGTTAAAAGCTTAGCAATAGCACTGATACCTTCTACCACTTAGGCCACAGATTATAACCCAAAGGCATTAAGATACAGTATACTGTAGATCAGATACTGTAAAATCAAATGACACACTGGGGTTTATTTTCTAAAGCAGGAAAGTGCAAAATCAGTATCACTGCTGCATAGAAACCAATCTGTGTCCAGGTTTTATTGCCAAAGATTAATTGAACAAGCTGAGGTTGAAAGCTGATTGGTTTCTATGCAGAAGTGAGCCCGATTTTGCACTCTCCAGCTTTAGTAAAAAAAAACAAAACAATGGGTCGAACAGAATTAAATGAATCTTCAACTGCAAAATTGTATAAGAGTTCTAGCATGTATATCAACCAGAGAACAGCTAGGTCCTCATTCCATTGAAAGGACATCTTCACCTTCAAAATCAATCAATCAACCTTCCCTAGTCTCTAAACTGATCTTATATAAAACACCCATCACTAAAGTGTTCACTTTCCTCTTCATAAAGTTTACAGCCTTGAATCTGAGTTCACACTGATGCAGTGCAGAATTCGCACCACATCAAAATCACACCCTGTTCATGCGAACAGCTGCGGGTGTATATGTTACGTTAACAACACCCCGAAATCAGATCGCAAAATGCGGTGCGATGTAAGAATCGTATCGCATGGGTGTGAGTACTCATGCGCTCCGATTCTAGTGTGGACAAAAAAAAAAAAAGGGTCCTGCACCTTTGTGCATGGCTCAAATTGTACCGCATAGAATTCACATGAGATTTACGCAGGAATGCAGTGCAGTTCCTGTGCGAATCAAATGCGATGTTCCACACCACAGAAGTGTGAATCCAGGCTCAAAAATAAATCTTCTGTGCTGCCTGTGCCTGCCTATTAGCTCCCCATTGGCTAAAATAGGACCATAATCCTATCTTTACTTTTAGAGGATATCTGCACAAGGGCTGTAAACACTGGGATATTAGATATTTTCTCATGTACAAAATACATGTATGAATATGTACTATGTATGACTTTTTCTTATGCAGATTAATTATTTTTCCATACTTTTTTCCATACATGGGTTTCGTTTGCTTGCTCTAGGTTTCTCTAAAGTACAAAAGTATTAGTAGTCATATGTTTCTACAGAACATGGATGTAATGTGTTTTTGTAAGACCAGCGTGGGAACGTCACACTCTATGCCACAGCAGGGACTAATGAGAGGGGGTCAATAAGGACAGTGTAGGATCATTATTTCACAGTGACAGATGTCTACTGAAGGGCTCTAGACATTACATAGAGAATTCTCTAGGCACTGTCTGTCCAAAACTCTTTTTTTCTTGAAAGATGCACACTACTTTACATAAAAGTGCAGCTGTAATCCAGGCCAGTGGACAATAAAGTAATTACATTTTTAAATTTTTAGGTCACATTCACACCAGCAGCTGCTGGTGTGCACTGCATTGAGAGCAGTGCCGATGCACTTAAAACAACGCAAACATTGTAACTTTTTTGTTCAAACCTTATTGAAATGTTTTGGCACAATGCAGTGGACAAGGGGAGAGGGGGTGGAGAGCACTAAGAGTAAAATCAGATGTGCACTTAAAGAGGGCAAAAATATAGATACGCTGACCAGTGATCCATGTGCATACAAAGTCCTTATATATAAAGTCCTTGTATATAGAAGTCCAAAAGTTGAGTGAAGGTCCTAGTGTATTATGTTCCAGGAGCACTAGTAATGAGCAGGCAGCCAGCTGTCAGAACAAGAAGCAATTGTACCAAACAGAGGGAAGAGACACACAGTGGCGCCAATCTAAGTGTAGATTTCCATAAAACACGTTTTAATAAAGGTAAACAACTCACAAGGGCAGAATATAAAAGCGCATGTAAACAGTAAGTAAGCTTCTGGTGCTGTGGGTCGTGGAAGTGTATGTCGTGCAGTACTCCTCATCCCGGCCGCGTTCTTGGATTCCTGGAGCTCTGAAATCCTTCAACGCAGCCGGGATGAGGAGTATCGCACGGCATACACTTCCACGACCCACAGCACCAGAAGCTTACTTACTGTTTACATGCGCTTTTATATTCTACTCGTGTGAGTTGTTTACCTTTATTAAAAATGTGTATTATGGAAATCTACTTTTAGGTTGGTGCCGCTGTGTGTCTCTTCCCTCTGGTGCAATGCAGTGTACTGCATTCTAACACACTGCAGTGAAAAAAGCACAGCATGCCGTACGTTTTTTTAGTGTTCACCACTGCAGCGCAGTGCAGAGCATTTTAACAAGGCAAACTGCCTTCTCTATGCTTTGTTCACCTGGTGTGCCTTTAAAGTGCAGTTATTCCTTCTCTCCTGAAAATGTTTCAATTGGTTTCTAACAGCTTATAAACACCTGTTGGTTATTTACATTAGAAGGCCAGCAATCTTCCAAGATTTCATCACCGATTTCAATGATTGTGCTGTAAACTTTGAAAATGAATTTATCTACAATGCTAATTAAAGTGGAGTTCCACTCACACTGTAAAAAAATAAAAGTCATCAGCTACAAAAACTGTAGCTGCTGACTTTTTTTAAAAACAGCCACTCACCTGTCCCACGATCCCACAGTGTCCTCCCCACAGCCCGTTTCACTGGCCGTCCTCTGTTCCAGGCACCGGCATCTTCAGTGGCACCCGACTCTGACAGCTTGCAGCTTCCCAGCCGGGTGCCCACTACGCATGGTGAGTAGCACTGCTCTTCGTGAATGTCCCCGTAGTCTTCTGGGACCTGTCACATGTTGCAGAAGACTACAGGGAGGGAAGGTCGGAGGACAACTTCCGTTTCTGATCGCCTAGGCGATTGCAGCAGAAATGGGAGTGGGTACTTGTCAAATTCAGGTACACGCTCCCCAAAGGTGCCAATCCTTAATGGGGAGCAGGGGGACCAGTCTTTAAAGTAGAACTTCCCCTTTTGGGTGGAACTACGCTTTAATACATAGATAAATGAGGGCTTGATTTAAAGTGCTTTTATTGTGTGTTTAGAATATGCAAATACTGTAGTGTACATGACCTGGCACAGGTTTACTTTAGCTTAACAAGATATAATAACAATAGTTGAAAAATAAAATGCTTTCAAAATTTTTTGGTCTTTTAGCCTAGTAAGATCACCATACAGTGCCTTGAAAACAATATTTTCAGATATTTGTACAAAATTTTGAAAACCATTTATCATTTTCTTTCCACTTCACAATTATGTGCGACTTTGTGTTGGTCTATCACATAAAATCCCAATAAAATACATTTATGCTTTTGGTTGTAACATGATAACATATGGAAAATTTTAAGGGGTATGAATACTTTTTCAAGGCACTGTAGCTCCTCTCAGTATACACACTATAGACACTCACAGATATCAATTCTGTCCCTGGGGACTTACAGGGTCACTGAAAACAGCGTAAAATCAAGATTTTTTTTTTTTACCTGAAAAGTGACTTAATGCATCTCTGCTCCCATTTGCCTCAGAAACTGCTTTCCGGAACTGTTCTAGTATTGCGTGTAGCTCAGACGAGCGCTGTAGTGTTCGATGTTCAGCAATGCGAAGGCGTTCCTTTAAAGCATGAAATTCCCGCTGATAGGCAATCAATTTTTCTGCAGAAAAAAAAAAAAAAATTATATATATATATATATATATATATATATATATATATATACACACACACACACACACATACATATACACACACACATACACTGTTAAAAAAACTAAAGGAACACTTTGAAAACAAATCAGATCTCAATGGGGAAGAATCTCATGCTGGATATCTATACTGATATGGACTGGGTAATGTGTTAGGAATGTAAGGATGCTCCATCATTTGATGGAAATGAAAATTATCAACCTACAGAGGACTGAATTCAAGGACACCCCGAAAATCAAAGTGAAAAAATGATGCAGCAGGCTAGTCCATTTTCTGAAATTTCATTGCAGCAACTCAATATTGTACTCAGTAGTTTGTATGGCCCCCATGTGCTTGTATGCATACCTGACAATGTTGGGGCATGTTCCTAATGAGACGACAGATGGTGTACTGGGATATTTTCCTCCTAGATCTGGACCAGGGAATCACTGAGCTCTTGAACAGTCTGAGGTGCAACACTGACAAGGCCGCTTTTATTAATTTATGTACAACCTTTATCCCAGAAGGAAAAATATAAAAAAAGTGTTGCCGTAACTGCTAGTGTTACAGTTCAGCTTTAATTTTTTTCCAAGTCCACCTAAATCTACTAGTACATTAAAGTCTAACCTCTTAAGATTGAAAATGCTGCTCCATTGCTCCTCTATCCAGAGTGAGGACACCCCAAGACAAGAATTTTGTTACCGGTCGGATCATCAGGTGAAAAATAAGGAAAACAAGCCTGAGGAAAACTAATGCAGCCACTACAATTAAAAGGTAACCACTTTTGCTAAGAAGACAAAACAAGCCCTTCTGGGTGCAGGAATTTTAACAAATGTTGTAGAAGAATCTTAGCTTTTGTTGCTTTGAAGAAATAGCTGTTTGTCTTATCATGTCCTTTGGGGAATTTGAATTGGAAGGACTAGTTCATAATAATCACCTAGTACACTCTCAGTGTTCCAATGAAAAAAACTGCAGTGTCTGCATCCCTTTAGAAGTATTTAACTCTTAGGGAATATCTCACCAAAACTATTCATATTGCAGAGGAAAATGTGACTTTTATTGCAGATTTTTAAGAAAATCAATGAGCCTACCACACAAAGAGGGAAATGATATCTCTGAGGAAGTTCTGTACACCAACCGTGTATAGAATACCTCCAGGTTACCATATCTCATTGAATTGCACAGAAAATTAAAAAGACTGCAGATTGAAAAGGAAAAGTAATATTGAATAACATGGCCTCTGTAGCTATTATATCTGCTATATTATTATTCTTTTACTTGCTATATTTTTTCCACAAAACTGAAGTTACCCTTTAAGGATTGGTAAAATGCCAGAATTTCCATTAGAAATGTACACCAGTTGTATATGTAGAAATCACAAAAGATATTTGCTAACTGAAAGATACAATCAGTGCCACAGACATCATTCATAAAATTACATCATACTTCTTTTCACCTATTTTTGGATAAAGTACACAGTTTCCTGGTGTCATTGTGCCAGCTATACAACACCTGCTATAAAATAAAGGACACACAGATACATACAGTACACATGTATACATTCACATCAACTCCCTTTGGCAGGTCAGGTGAGGAGGCCTGGGACCCCATGTGCCCTTACTACCATAGTCCCCTTATTATATTGAAAACCAGTGAGCAACCAGTCTACTCAAATTAAGAATGAGGTTTAGGTGAAGACAGTTAAATCCAGGGGCGGACTGACCATTTGGAAACTCGGGCACCGCCTGAGGGCCCAGGGTCAGTAGGGGGCCCCATGTGATGCCGCTGGTACCTTTTTCATAGGCTTTTTTGAGTTTGGGCAAGGACACAGGGGCCCCATGATCCTCTATTGCCCGGGGGCCCCATGAGTTGTCAGTCCGCCCCTGGTTAAATCATTGAGATTTTATTACTAAATGGTGCCACTTTTGCAGGACGCTGTCCTTCTCAGCATTGTTGTTCTCTATTTCTTATACAATACTATATAGCAGTAAAATCCCACTTTTTTCTCCCTGCGTACACCCTTCTCTAACACTTCTTTTCTCTCTTCAATGACTTTCTACTCTTTCCTCTTCATTTTCTTTTCTTTTTCTTCTTTCTCTGTCTTTTCTTCCTTATGTATCTTGGTTTACTATTCAAAAATAGGTTATTTTTATTTGCTTTTTCCATATACCTTCCTGAACATATTTTTTTTTAAATTTATTACACTATATTGCTTTCTTTTCAGTTTTTCTGCAACATAATATATACACACAACTTTACCTATAAATAATATGATATAAGATAAAGATAAATAATGATTCAGCTGCCCTATTATATTTTTTTTAAGATGTTGTTTATGTTTTACAAATGACGTTAGAGCAATATATTGTCACAGGTCAATGTTAAGGTCTATATTTTACATTATCTTAAAACACTATGGCTAATGCTTTTCTTGTTATTAAGTGTTACTAAACCCCGAACCCTGCACTCACTATATCCGGTCTCCCACAGTACACAGAACATAGAAGTGCAATTATTTTAGTACACAAACTACTAAATACCTTTTCTCATCAGCAGTTAGAACAGTCTTGTGACTTCTATCAGTGTCCAACAGACCACACGTTAAAACTTATAGGAGGAATTTTCATTCTGCTGTAGGAAGATGCAGGACCCCTGACCTCTGTCTGGACAGTGCTGGTTGACCCTGTGCTGATCACATGCACTGTCCCAAGAAAAAAAAAAAAAAAAAACCTCTCTGGCAATACACACCAAACTGAATATGTGCAAAGTATCTCCACACAATATGTCTTATCAGGAGATAAGAGCAGGGCACTGGAAGAAGGGGAGAATCAGAGAAATCAAGATCTAACAGCCTTTTTACACAATGCAGAGGATTAACCCCTTAGGTTCCACAATAAGTATAACAAGCATGCTTTACTGCATATACAGACTGATTTTACTGTTGTGGGTTTAGTAACACTTTACTATTTATTACAGGTACTTATATAGCGCCGTCAATTTATACAGCACTTTACATTACATTCACATCAGTCCCTGCCCTTAAAGCGAGTACAATCTAAGGTCCCTAACTCACAGTCATACATACACATACTAAGGCTAACTTAGAGCCAATTAACCTACCAGCAAGTTTTTAAAGTGTAGGAGGAAACCAGAGTACCCAGAGGAAATCCACACAGGCACAGACAGAACTCCATACAGATAGGGCTCAAACCGACGACCCTAGTGCTGCTAAGCATAAGTGTTACCCCTTAGCCACTGTGCTGCCCTATTTTTACTCTTGCGGTCCTATTGACCTATTATATATTTGTTTATATTTTTCTGTATACACTCAACCTTAATTTTTTTTTTTCACAAAATCCCACCTTACTTGAAAGTAGGAACTACATCTGGGTTTCCAGTAACTGTTTCTAGTCCCCTTTACAAATCTAAACAACAAAACATCTTTATACTCTGTCTTTACTAACCAATTTACTGTTCATGATGTCAAGTTCTATTCTTGTCAGGCTGTCAGCATTAGGCTAATTCACTCTATTATGTGATATGATTGAGATTAGCAGACTTCAAGCTTTTGTATTTATGGTTTAGGTTATACACACAGTAAGCAGATTCAAACAATTGGCACGGAAGATCTCTATGATCAGGCACATTTGTGATTAATGATAAAAATATGTAGAGGAGCATTAACTGTAGAATGTAGCTTTTCTCAGTATCAATGCCTACATTTCTATCCATTTATTTTTTAACAATATTAAGGATTACTTAGATCATCCAGACACGAATATGCTGCATTAAAAGTAATCTCCTAGATAAGGAAATATCGTCTGAATAGAGAAGGCATGTGTATTCTAACTTGGATCTTGGTGTGCTTTTTGTATTTTTTCCAGATCTGTGCAGTGATCCAGAGTGAGACTTTGGCTCTGTGCATGAGCTTCCTGTAATAAAGACTGGTCACTGCTGCTCTCTTCCCTGTGCAGGGTGACTGGTCTTGTCTCTGCCTCCTCCTGTGGTTGCCTGCAGGCAGCCTATAGTGGGAGGAGCGTTGGATCCCTCCCACAGCTCAGTTCTCTGCACAGACTATGTACAGCACAGTGATGATATCATTGCTACTTTTACAAGATAAAAAGTTCCTAAAGGCATTTGTTGAACACAAAGTGGATATATATAATTTTTGGCTTTTGAGGAATACAGTATTTAAATGAAAGCTTTTTGTGCCTTGAGTTAAACTTTAACTCATTTGCTGCCAAGTCTGTACATCATACAGACCTGATAGCAGGGAGTTGTACACACAATGCAGTGGCTACAGCCAATGAGATTGTGTCTAAAACTGACAAGCAGACTCCTCGCGCACAGCCCCTGGTAACAGTGCGCATGCTCCCGCCATGTACATGACGACATGGCGGGTGGAAGGGAGAGCAGACACAAGTCCGCTCTCCTCCCTTTCTTCCTGTGACCCAGAAAGCGATGTCACTTCTGGGTCACCGCTGTCACTTTGCAATACATCCAGTGGAGCCCAGAGGAGACATGTAGGGTCTTTTAGACCCTGCATGCTTCATTAAAGAGAACCTGTCACCTAGAAAGCATCACATTGGGGACTTTGTGTACCCTATATTATGAAAAAAAAAGGTTATGTAAAAAAAAAAAATTTTTTTTATGCAAAGAAATACAGTTATACCCAAGCACATCAAAAAAGGATGAAAGTGAACCACTTTAAGAAGTCCCAATGAGGAACCAAACTACGGCTTGAAAAAAATAGCAACATTTATTGAAAATATAAAAAATTAGGCAATTATCCTCCCTTCACCCAACACAATTAAAACCAAAAAAACTAAAACTACAGCTCGGGCTTACAGACATACCACACACCCACATATGGATATATAACAATTGGAGCACTTGTCTAGATAGAAATATGTGTTTTCCAGCAAGTCCCATTCGGCTTTATGGACCAAGAATATGAACAAACTCTGAGATG